ATCACACAGACCCAGCTCACTGCTGGATCAACACATGCTAGCCAAAGACGTTATATGAGGATAAATTTACACAAAGGTAACGATATTGTTCGGTAATACGTCGAAGACCCAAACGTTTGAGCTTAAGGTAAACGTTTGGGGGGTGTAGTCATCTCGGGGAAGACCTATAACAACTTTTCTGATTTAAGATATTCACGTGCAAACTCAAGTTTGCTTTATTGAGATCCAGTATGGTCACCCGCTTACAACAATGCCGTATGTTGTATTAATGTACTCACGTACATACATAATTCCTGTCACGACAGTAAACTCTCTTCATATTTACCGCATGTATGTACATAGGGTAACACCTCTGGTGCAATTGTAGGGACCCACAGCCTTGGAGAAGAATGAAAAGCTTTCAGAGAAGACCTTGTAGATTCTCACTGAAGATTCTTTAAGTATGTACATTATATATATTTATAAGTTCGTGGAAGAATTACAACATCATTTATTTAAGTTCTAAATACAACCTCTATATCCATGTTTTGTTTGTTGTATCTGATAAAAACATACAAAAACATGAATAACCCTTTGCAATTATTTATCTCAAATCTCGCCTAAACACGACAAATGGTGGCAGCGACATCGACGTGTTTATCAACCACAATTTCTGGTTGTGAAAACTCAAAATAAATGGATACAACTATCATGTTATTCAGTGGTTATATCTTATTTTTTGCAACATAATATAAAAATACACAAACAAGACAAACTGAATGCATGGGGGTAACAATACGTCAGCCGTCACTATTAACTTTCTACAGGTATTGAACTGGTATTCTTGTGAAACATTAGCAGGACAAAGGAATTTACTTTGAGAAGAATTGTACTAATGTTGGAATGAAAATAGCCATTAAGGAATGATACTTGTCATTGAGGAATGATACCAGATATTGGAAAGTGACATTTGTCATTATGGAATAGTATTACACAGTTTTGAATAGTTTCTAGGTAATTTGATAATTAACTAACAAATCGACGTCTATACAATACTGTATTTTTTGGTTCAAGAGAACTGGCAAATATAGAAACCCAAGTATAACATTACAGTATATGTTAAAATTTAGTATTTCATAGAATATTAATTCTCACAGCCGTGTAGATCTGTTTTTAAACCAAACTTGATAACACACTGAGGGCTGCTGTATTATAACAAAAAAACTACACATTAAATAAAACTGTGAATAAGACTTCTTGTTGAAGTTTAGCTGAAGTGATAATGTCAACAAATGTTATCACAGACATAAGCCTTTGTCAGTATCAGGAATGGTTGGTGGGTTCAAAGTTCAGACAATTGAATTTAGGTTAAAATCAAGGCCCAAATATTTTTGCAATATCCACAGTCATCACAGCACCTGATAAGGAAATTATGCATATGCAAAGAGTTTGTACACAATAAAAAAATCATAACAAATTTACAGATGAAAATAAATAATTATGAAATAGGCTAAATAAACATTTTATGTCAATAGTATAAAATGTTAACATCTAAGCCAAAAAAAATGTAAATGTTAATGAACATGAAAATCAGGTAGTCACATATGGATTACATTCCAAACGTTAAAAGAAAAAACTATCAGGTATTCATATCTGGGTACAATTACAAACGTTTAAAGATAGAAAAAAACTGCGATAGCCATATGGGCATCACTACAAGCTCCAGCAATATCACATATTTCAGCAACCCTCGAAACATATGGGCTACATTTCCATATTGGTGGCAATCTTTCGCGACATATTTATTAGAAATGAACGAATCTTCTAAGTAGACTAGGCTACGGGCTTGACATCGTTCAAAAAAATAAATTAGATTATTATCCACTAATGTTTTATTCTTAACTTCCCTTCCTTGATGACTGGCGCCATGAGGATAAATGCAAGAGAATTTCGAAAAAATTATTATAGTAATCCGGCTTTTAGTACAATAATTTATAATTGCTACGGGATAATAGAGATTTTGTTAACGTGTAGCTTAATTACTATCTTTCTAAAACATAGCACCATGATAGGCTTTTGGTAAAATCAGCAAATAATTGTATGATTTAATAAGTGCCACGACTGGTCCTTAAGTGCACCTAGCCTCAAGATTATGAGTTTGTGAATTACATCTCGCACCCTAGCCCTTATCCCTCCCTCCCACCCGCCCCCAAAATAATGTCCCATCAGGATGATGAGAATATTATGTTATAAATACTTGCATTGTATTTTTAATTTACTATTTACAATTAAAATACCCGCTCATGTACATTTACACGTATCTGATGTCAGTGGAGAACTGACCTAGGCTTGCTCATTTACATAAAATGTCGTGTATATTTATTTCTAGATGGAAAATAGGATTGCTGGACCGACTGACACATGCAACACAGGCTAATACACATACAGAGATACAGACATAAAGACAGACAAACGCAGTCACCCTCCCCCCTGCCCTTTGCTACAACACTTCCATACAAACCATCTTGCTACACGCCCCAGCAACATCCAGTACTATCAGTCTTGACATCAGGACTGTCTGTGCTTTACACAAACACGAGTGGAATATCCAACAAGATGTAAGAAATGAAGATGGCTGAGATGGTGTTCCCTGAGAACAACCAGGCGAGGTGAAGAGCAGAGGGACATTGAAGAGAGGTGGTGAGGCGCAACTAGTGAGCTTGGGAAGTTGGAGATATGGTGGTGGACAGAAATGGATTCAATTACTTTGCTGTAGGAATAGTAGCAAAAAGAATAAGCATGGTAGTCGTCTATAAACCGCAACAAATGAACACTAGAAGTACCGCACATGAAAGGGAGGCAGCTTGGAAGATCGGAAAGGACGGACGGACACACACACACACACACGAAAGAGCAGAGCTCAACCCCGCAAGACACAACTAGGTGAATACACACACACTGGGGAAGTTAACGCTATAATATCACACTAATATCAGCCACACCTCAAGGAACACAAGGAGACGTTACTCAAAAGGATAATGCAAACCTTTTGAAAACATCGTATGGAATCTAAGCTTCACATCCCCAGACGACAGACCCTCGAAGCACACGGGATACTTTGAAGCACAGAAACACTGGACAAAGGAAACGTGTATACAGATAAAATCAATAGGACGGGAATGAAGATTAGATATTCTAGATAAACACTTATCTAACGTAAGAGAAGTTAACAATTGGACTGAAACTGATGTAGAGAAAATAGAGGCCAACTCCATACTCGCATATGTAAATTTAAAATTGGATCGGAAGATAATTAGAATGCCGGGACCCAGAAGATGAGGCTCGAAACTGCAAGTCAGCTAAGTAATAATACTCACATAAACATACACATACGCAGCAAACACTAGACGTTCTCTCGTGTCGTGTACAGTTCTACAAAACACCAACATTTTCTCTCATGTAACACTTTGCTGTGGCACCATCGCCCCTAGCATGAGGCGAGGTCCTGAAACAACTCGCAATGATTCATCCAAAGTATACACATTTTAATTATAAGCTTACCGATAGGTAAGTCTGTCGTGTGGTATAATACACTACCAGGCAAGTCTACTCATGAGCATAGCAGCGACTTCCTTCGGGGCCTCAGACGACCCCGAGAAGCCCGGCTGTTGAACAGGAACCCTTTACCCAAATTTCATTACAACATGAAATTGAGAAAGTAGAACACTGGTGTACGTTAAAATTAGTAGGGACTGGTGACTGTCCACTGTACACCTGAGACAGCACCCGAACACTAAACACCGTGATGCCAGTATACTCTCCTCCGCCGTGTACCATATGAAAGTACTAAATTATCATTCTCAACAGTAATAATGTTTTTGCAGTCTTGTCACTGTTCGAAACTATGACTCGAGATGTGCTTCGTTTACTTTGAGCCCGTTCTGCTGGCACTACACTAAAATCCTTCTCCAAGACTAACCTATGCCTAGTTATTCGCAAATCCATAATATAATAATTTGGATTCAATAATACTATTTCTTTTTACGCCATATTCAAAATAGTAACGTATCAATATACCACATTTTGTACCATGTTACGGCGGAGAGTTGGTTCACGCTGGTGGAAGGCTCGGGGGCTTCACTTCATGGCAACTGTGAAGAAATCCACGACCCCATTTATGCTATTAACAAGTTTTCTGAACCTCTTATTATCTCGGTAAACAACCATCATTTTCCCTTACTATTAACTTTTCTAGTCAATAATTTAATTCGAGATTTACAATATTGCAGACCCCTCTAGTGAGACGCTCTCAGTTAACACTGACGTTTTCACTGTTTTTGGTTCACGGGTTGATGCTTGGTTCACTGAAAAGGGAGCCTATGGTCACAAACATGTTAGAGGACAGGTTCACCTGACCCAGGAGGTCCCTCGTAATGACCCGACCACCAAGGTCATGACCCCGAGGCCCGCGGGTCACTCTGGTGGTTGGCCAAGGCATGGCTGAAGGTTGTCACAACATTACACACTTAACCAGGACGGTAGTGACGACCAGGAGTGGACTTGAGTGTTGTGGTGTCGAGTCGCTGCCCCCACACGCTCACAGGCTGACTGAGTGGTGTCAGTCACTGGACACAGTCTGAATGGCATTGGCCCTCTTGCGCTGGTCATTATTTACATATGCTCACATTCTGACTGGCACTTCACTCTAGTGCTGATTCGTTGCTCTCTCTTTGCCAGCTTTGTACAAGCTGCGACCACTACCACGATTCCCTCCCAGTCGTCAAATCAGTTCAATGTCCCCCCCATCACACACTAGCACCTCCCCACTACCTTCTGTCCTGCAGAAGCGTGGGGCCATTGTAGTTAGCTCAGCGAGACGTGGACGTCCACTGGGTAGGTCTTACCACGACCCACCAAGATTGTCGGCGACACTCCGAAGAACTAATGCGCCACCTGTCGCCTCATGGGTCAAGCTGGGACTCGTTTTTCGTTTACCCGTACCAGAGGCGGGTGTTCTCTTCTCACATGTCCTGGTGGGCGGCCGTCGTCACCGCCTGCAGCGTCGCGTCGTACCCATGGTAGGGGTAGGAGGCAGCGGCGGCAGCGGCCATGTTGGGAAAGTGGTGGAGGAGGGAGGCAGCTTCAGGCTTAAGGTGTTGGGCCAGCATGTCGGGCTTCATGATGTTGTGTCGAGGAGCCATGCTGGAGAGGCCGGGGTCGTAGCCCATCTTGGCGGGATCGTAACCCATCTTAGTGGGGTCATAGCCCATCTTGGTAGGGTCGTAGGTCATCTTGGCGACGTACATAGCTCTCATGTCGTGGCCGGTAGGGTCGAAGTGGTGCGACATGACGGAGCCGTCGCCATGGGGGCCCAGCAGCAGATCCCTGAAACACAATAAATAAATAATTAAATGAAGACGAAAAAAAGACTTCTAAAAACAAAATATTACCGTATTTGTATACAATTTGTTTATGCATTAAGACAAAATGAACGAGAATTAGAAACCTACTGAAAGCAGCTGTTAGTATGACAAACACAGATACAGACAAAATTATATTCAAAACGAGAAACAGACAGAGATCAATAAAGAGGCAGAATTGAATTAATAACTTCCCCTTATTTCCTCTTAATGTTCTCTTTTTTGAAAAGAATCAGATATGTAACTGTACAACCTTGTATAATAAAGTGTACAACATAGAAGGGGGGAGGGGAGGAGAAGTGAACACTCATAAAGTATATATATACCTATCTACCTACCTAGTTGTGCTTGCGGGCCTTGAGCTCCGCTCTTTCGGCCCGCCTCTCATCTGTCAATCATTCAACTGTTACTAACTACTAACTAATTTTTTATTTTTATTTTTCCACACACACACAGACATCCCTCAGGAAGCAGCCCGTAACAGCTGTCTAACTCCCAGGTACCTATTTCCTGCTAAGTAACAGGGGTATCAGGGCGAAAGAAACTCTGCCCATTGTTTCTCGCCGGCGCCGGGAATCGAACCCGGACCACAGGATAGCGTGTCCAGCGTGCTGTCCACACAGGCACCCACAGGGTGTGGGATACATATATATGTATATATGTATGTGTATACAGGATATGTGGAAGCTGGTCTGAATTGCATTTAACCTTCATAAACGCACATTAATAATACTATGTAATACATAAAGACACATCATACACGGTTTATGTAGGGCAGACGTAAATCTGTGTATTTATGTATGTAAGTTAGATTAGCATTTTGATTAACATTTTAAAAACACTACAATCACCTTCTGTGGTTGATTGTTCAATAAACCCCTGAACTATATGTTTAACAGATCTCTAACCCTGTCCATGGAGGACAGAAGAAAATTTATATATGCTGGTTAGCATTGTAAATGTGTGGCCACGTCTGTGGTAGAAAATAATAATTAAAAAAAAAAAAACTTGAGCTACTGGATCCTTCAGTATATTGCTCATATTAAATAGTTCCAACTGGATAATAGTGAAAATATTACTTTTTATATAACAAATGTCAACAATATTGGAAATATGATGATGCTCGTAATGTTTATGGTGATGCTCATGTGGTTGTTGATGCACGGAGGGATGGTGATACCCATGGTGGTGGAAGCGATGGTGAGGTGATGGTGATTGATGGTGGTTGTGTTTATTTGGCGGTGGATACGATTAGTTTGCTGTAAGGGGGGGGGGAGGGGATGGGAAGAAGGGTGATGGAAGTAGCAATGGTGGTGGATGTAGCAGTGAGGGTGATTGTGATCATGGCGGTGTTGATGATGGTAGAAGCCATGGTTTTTAGTGGCCATGGTTTTTAGTAATGGGGCAATAGCTGGTGCTAACGCCCTTGTTAATCTGCACAACGGTGTACCACCCGTGTTAACCTCTACAATGGTGCCAACAGCAAACCCAAACTTTACGGTTGCAGTGCCCATCCCATTATTGCTAAACATTATCGCCAAAGCGACCAGGATGGGACTGGGGGCCAATGGTGTACTAATTAAATTAACTGGTGAGCGGCATAGATAAGTCAACACCAGCCTTAATATTAATCACTAGCTATGTATAATTGACAACAACACAGCAGTAATGGCACGACACATGAGAGTGGTTCCCGCGGCTCGTCAAGCATGAAGTGTCCCAACCATGAAAACTGTAGTGCCATGTTTTTCCTCTCCGTGAGTTGCCTTGGCGACCGTCCCCGCGGCATGGTGGAGGGCAGGGTAATAAAGCCAGGGGAGGCTCTTCCTCTGGCAGCCCTGGCGGCACCTTAGGCACTCGTATGTTCCACTTCGGGATTTATATTGAAAGGTTTGTGGAAGGGCAAAGCCTCAGTCTCTCAACCGCAACTGGCTGCGACAATGAGCGCTTTAGGCTAATTTTGTAATAAATCTGTTTTTTTTTCTCACTTTGGGATTAGCCCAATGGAGGATTACAAATAAATTCAAAGTAACTTATTTTTTGTTTAATAAAATTATCGTTCTGGTGTCATTCAGAAGCGTAGACACTAGCGGAGTTCGTTCAGGGCGAAGAGGAGAATAGGAAGCCATAGTCGGAGCCAGTGAAGGGATGGGGAGGCGGGAGCAGCGAAGGGGGAGTCGGGTGTCGGGTTGGGTTACCATCGAGGGCGGCCGGTTAACGAGACCCGACGTAAATCTGTGAGTTTAGCCTCCAATAACTAATTAACTTAGTCCCTACCCGGCCACATAACTAATTTACGTCATACAGGCACGGTCATGGGAAAGGACAAGTGAAGGAGATATTTGCTTTACCCCAAAATATGCAGAAAGTTTAGCAGCAGCAGCAAGAAATTCCCACGTGACTTCACCACCTTCTGAGACCCTCATGAAAAAAAATAATAATTCTCGCTTTTATTCTTGTTTAACTGACACGAAATTAGAACTATAACAAAAACGATTAACAGCAACTCGAGGCTAGTGACTGAGGGAGGACTTTAAATACTGAAACAAGAATAATGGTTAAATTATCAAAAGACTTGAGAAAAGAGGAAGGTGGTGGTGGTGTGTGCCAACCCACCTTGTTAGTCCAGTCGGCGTGCAACAGGTGCATCCATCTTTAATATATATTTATATCCAATGATAAATACATTTTTTTCCATTTAATAATAATACTAGCAAAAAATAATTAAAAATGCAATTAATATAAAACTAATTAAGAAAAGATAAAACTATGTGAAAATTGTATATAAAAATAATTTAGTAAAAATTCAAATAATATATACAAATAATAATAATAATAATAATAATATTATTATTATTATTATTATGACAGTGTTAGAGATAATAATATAAAAGAGCAAGACGTATAATAATTTAGAGTAAACCTTATAACATAATGTAAAATAATGTTTGGTGCTGGGATTAAGACCAATTGACCTTTGGAGCCATAATAGCTTAGTGACCAACCAACAAGAATACTTTCATCCTGGACTACGTTTAGGACTAAGCTTAGTATATCAACGAGAAGTTGGGTATGTATACCTCTCAATGTATAAGCTTGAATGAATATAGTATAACAATATAACTAATAATTATAAGACATAATTATGCACAACTATACAAGTAGTAACAGAAACGACATTATTAACGCTTTATATGGGAGGTCGGAAATGACATGCATACTAAGTACTGGAATCGGGTAGAAAGAACAGTACATTGGGGGTTGGTATTTCACGGAGCCTGTCACCACATTACCACACATCATCAGCTGCATATGCAAGGTTGGCCAGCATAAGTACTGTCTTTAGAAATTCGAACAAAGTTCCGTTCATCACCACATGTGAAACTAATTTTGGAATATGTGGCACCAACGTGGAGTCCTACTCACGTTTAAACACAAAGCGAAGCTTGAGAAGGTCCAGAAATATGCTATCAGACCAGCCTCAGAGTTGAGAAATATGAGTTACAAGAAAAGACTAAAGGAATTAATCTTCACGTCACTGAAAGAGAGAAGAATTATGGGAGCGATAAGAACTACAAACAATTCTTGGTGGAATAGCCAGGATAGGCAAAGATAGATTAGTTAGCATGGGTGGTACACGGACAAGTGAACAGATGAAAATTAAGTACCTAAATGAGCCATAAAGACACTGTGCTTAAAAAATGCCATTGTCAAAGTATTGAACAAATGTAATATAGTAAGAAGTGATGTGGTGGAAGCAGATTTCATTCACAGCTTGAAGTGTAGATATGACAGAGCCCAATAGTTTCGGGAACCTATAGCATGTGCCAGTCGATTGAAGGTTGAGAGGTGGGACCAAATAGCTGTAACTCGTCCTCAACAAGTACAACTGGGTAATTATAACTAGATGAGCACCAGTGTGTTTTGTCCAACAAGTATCTCATATACAAGTGCGTTGTGTCCAGCAAACTCATCTTTACACCAGTGAGTTTTGACCTATAAATGTATCCTTACATCACTACTGTACAATAATTCCCTCGGTGGCAACGTTTCGGAATAGTTGAGCCTAATTCGTGTATAAACAAAATCGCGTTTAATTGCATTTTTGTGCCTTAAACATTGTTTTACAGTTATGTATCTCAATTAATGTTTTAGTTTTCATTGATATACATACGTTACAGTGCAGTAATCTTTATGTTAAGAAAGCAGTGTAAATGCACAATCATTTATGAATACAATTTTGTGTTTGATTTGATATTCAATAATAATAACTAATTATACTACTAATAAAATTGCATTATTATTATTATTATTATTATTATTATTATTATTATTATTATTATTATTATTATCTTTCATATTATATTTTCCCGTTACCGTCAATATATTATTTTTAAAAACATTCTACAGCAAATGTTCTTACAATTGGAGCCTACTCGAATCTCACACCCTCTTTCCTTATCTTTCCGAACCCCACCTGTTGCTTCCGTGATAACACATGTGGCCCGCAGAAATTGGAAAATACCAAGACTGGTGCCAGGCTGACCCGAAATGACCTGGGTCAACCACAAAAAGGCCGGTGACAGGCCGAACTCAAGCCACTTACATGTAAACTGAGTGTGGCTTCCATCACTCAACTGCTGGAGGGGACAGGTCACTAGGACTGACGTTACCATACGTGGGTATAGGGACAGTTTAGTTAAGTTGGGGACTAGTTTGAGATTCAGTTGGTTGACTTGAGATTAGTTAGGGTTAGTTTGACTATTTTTTTTTTTTGTAAATTAAGGATAGGATACGCTAGAATCGAACAGTTTTAACATTCGTTAAACTTGTACTATTTAATTCACACAACAGTGTTACTAATATTTAGAATGTCTGTAAATGTACGCAATAATCTTAAATCTTAATGCCACTAATATAAGAAAAGAATGTACTTAACACTTTACATAAGGAAACCCTGTCAAC